TTTTTTTTTTTTTTTTTTTTTTTAAATATAGGTAACATGTTTACTATTCCCTAGTCAATACCACACTCCTCAAATTAGCAGCCTTGCTACTAGATGAGTGCTTATACTAGCTTATCTTATTCTAGTCTGGAAAACAAAATAAGTATAGGGTATAAAGCACTGTTATAACATTATAATTGTATTCAAATGAGCACTTTGCCTTCTTTAACTTTACTAGCATATTTGCAGTAGCAAAATGCCTTTCTACACTAAAAAAAGAAAAAAAAATAGCCTCCCTTATAGTCCCATCCTGAGGGCAGTTGGGAACCTAGAGAAAGATCTTCCTCAAACACGTATCATTTTCCACATGGTGTTTGGGATGCTTATTAATAAAAGAAAACATGTGTTAACCACATAGGGTAGTTTAAACTAATAAATTTCTCCCAACTTTAGTGGCCTAACATGATAAATTTAGATGAACTCAAACTATAAAAGGCTGTTAAAAAAAAAATAGGTAATAAACTTGTTTATAGTCTCTACACTAACCACTCCTACTCCTCCCCTTCTCCCCCCCACACTTTTTCTTTTCTTTCTTTCTTTCTTTTTTTTTTTTTTTTTTTTTTAAGAAGGTAGAGGGGGAAAACCTGCAAGCAACAACAAGGCACTTCAACAAGTTGTTTTAAATTGCAGCTTAGTGGGTTTTTGTTTAAGTACTGGCTAAATGAGCTATTTACTCTTTGGGATTTTCTTAAATCTCCCAGCCTTGCAAAATATTTACACAAACTCACATATACACAGATAAGGAGACATTCCCACAGTCTCAACCCTAAATTTTAATCCCTTGGGCTATGTCCATATTAGCAAATTTAGGACAAAATTCCCCATTCTTGCAGCATCTCTGGTGGTAGGAAGAGGGGAAAGGGAAAGAGGGTGGAGGGGTTCCTCCCCTCCTTATGACAAAATCATTAACATGGGAAAACCCAAGCTAAAAACCTAAAAAGAAGTCCAGAAATGCTGGTGTTTAGCTCAAATCAAACTATGAAAATTACAGACTACTTTGTATTCACTAGGATTACAGCCTGGTGAACCTTAACTTCCATCACTGGTACCACAGTGCAGCAGCAAAGACAAATTAAGCTAAATCCATCAACAGTGATGTACTGAGGCTAAATCCAGAGGAGTAACCTTAACTTTTGCTGAGCGGGAGGTGCTTAACCTCCTTGCACAGGCTGGAGCAGTGGCATGGGTTACCACAGCCTCAGTGCAAGCTCCCCCAGTACAAGATGTAGCAGTAATGTAGACTCAGTTGGGGCTGCCATTCTGGTGCCCCTTTGAATTGCCACCCAGGGTTGGTGACCAAGTCAGCACCCCCACCCCAAGTTACGGTCGGCTAAATCAGAAGTGTACATAGGCACAAAAATTCAGAAGTGTGCACAGGCACAGAGATTTTATTACTAAGTTATTTAAAATATTCTAGGAAGAATATTTTGCACTGGTGGTAGAAATATGAACATTGGGTTTTTTGTTGTTGTTCTTTTAAAGACAGGTATGTTAACAGAGCCAAATTCAAATCTTACTCCTCTATCAATGAAAATACAGTAGATCCAGGTGAAAATTGCAGAGGCAACCTTAAAAGTAGCATTTCCTATATTTCAAGTGCTTTACTTTGCAACCTGAACGTGAATGTGTTTGTTTTGGGAGGAGAACAGGTAGCAGACCTTGTACATAAGAGAGCATACATGCGTATATCCATCCATCCATGTGGAAAATAAAGACAACTGAAGGAAGAGGGTAGATTAAAAATAAAGGGGGAAAAATTCTCTTTAGCCCCACCCTAACTAAGTTCTATTCTCAAAAAGTTAACGAAGGATTGGGTTACCACATTTTTTTTCCAAACTCAATAGCTATGGCATTAGTAGCTTATTTTCTCCTGGCCCCCAGCTTTCTAAGGAACTAGTAGTCATGTGATTAAAACACTCCCCACTTTGCCAAGAACACTATTTCTTACTTCACAAAAATAGGTT